GAGCCGGATCTCTAAAAAGAGCCGGAAATCCCATCACTACTCGACAGGGTGTGCTCCTGGTGTGTTAAGAATTCGGACATACCTGGAATCTTTGTCGCCATCTGGGTCCGTGTCAGTGTCTTTGTTGTCTGTGCTGTCTGGCAGACCATTAGCTGTTAGTGAGCTGGCCAGAGAAACTTTCGGTCTGTTCAGTGGTCGTGGAGTTCCTGGACCATTCACTTTCCTATCAAAAAAGCAAACCAAAACAAATAAATAAATGAAAATACATATTTATTTTTTTTAAATCAGGTCAATAATCTGTCCTCAACACAACCTCTCTGTAAACGCAGATGTGCTTCCAGGAGGCATTACTCCATTCATTCTATTCACAGCACTGCATCCATTTTTCCTGCAAAAGCATGAAAGAGAAAAAAATATTAATGCATTATTAAAACCCTCTGCATGGACACTGAATGCAGATAAATATTCTATTAAACTCTAAACTTGAACACATCACTTACTCTGAGATTGGATGGACACAGCTTACCACCATTACATTCTAGAGGGAAATAAAAATTTCTAAGTTAATCACAGACGTTATTAGTTGAAAAATAACTAACTTTTCTGTTCATGTCTTACCTTCTCCACCCCCCGAAGAAACTTATCTGTTCCTGTATAGTTCCTCTTAGGTTCTGTAAGTAGCTCACACAGGCGCTGGATCGTGAACGGGATTCTACAAATGGAAGCAGAACAACAGATTCACCATACAGTGACCAGGACAAGTGTCCTTCAGAAGGTCCATGAATCTATTTTATGTGGTTCGTAAGTGGGAAGTCACCAGTTATAAAAATCAACAGGGAAGGACAGATAATATTGAGAAACACTGTTCTGAGCTCTAATAGTCTCCCTTTAAGAAATGAGATTCAACTCTGTGTTGATTGATATACCCCAAATCACAACAGTCACCTCAAGGTGCTTCATACTGTAGAGTAAAGACCCTACACTAATACAGAGAAAACCCCAGCAATCAGGTAACCCCTTACGAGCAAGTTTTATGGCAACAGTGGGAAGGGAAAGTTCCCTTTAAACAGGAAGAAACCTGTGGCAGAACCAGGTTAAGAGAGGGTCCAGTTGGGCAACCAGTTGAGGATGAGATGAAGAGAAACAAACTTAGTTGGGTACAACTCTAGTTGAATCAGGTTTTGAACAATCTTTGTGCTCTGCTAATTTAATCTAGTTTTACAGCATGGCTTTCATCTAGAACTGGTCTTATGTGGTCTAGATTGTGCTGAAGGGTTGGAGGTGGGCTAAATCCCAACTCTGAAAGTAGGTTATAAATAGTAGCATGGTTCCTTTAACTCTAGGTTTAACAGCAAAATTGTGCAAATAACTGAACTAGTTGCTCAGTACACTCATTTATTTAAAGCTGCCAACCAAAAATTAACTTGAAATGTATCTAAAATTGATGAATAAAAGTACTGTTGACACACATTATGCAAAATTCTGAAAGAAAGTGCAAACTGACTGGCCTGAAAAGACTAGGGCAATAGGAAATGCTTTCACAACAAGCAAAAAGAAAAAGTGTATATGTGCACATATAACACACAGGGTAACCTTGCTTGGCTTCTCTATTGATACCACTTCTGATTCACGTGTTCCACTTCAGCTCAGTACTCACCCATTGTATCCGTTCACAATCTTCAGAATTCTCTCCTTCATATCTTCAAATGGAACAGACTCCACATTGGGATTCACAGGACCTCTTTGCTCAGGTGCTGAGGCTCTGAAGTCATCCATCACTTTCTCCAATTTAAACAGAAAGTAGTTCTTAAATTGAGACCATTGAACCCTAAAGGAAATACAGTGAATAATTAGAAACAGGTCAACACACTGGCAGAAGACATGTTAGAAGCTTAAAACAATTCAAAGTTCAGCATTTCCATCACTGTGACAAATGGCACATAAATTAGAAACTGCAATGTTGTTAAAGTTGACAGACCTATGCTATATGAAAGAAATGGACCCTTCCACTGTATTTTTACAGTCTGAAATCTACCCCACACTTTTGTATTTTTGCGATTATCTAATAAGGCCAGGTAATGTCAGATACCACAAATCATTTTGGAAATCAAATGCAATAAAAAAAAAAAACAACAAAACAGTCAAATAAACAATTTTAAAAAATGTTAAAAAAAAACAAAAAAAACTTTATTGGTTATTATTATTGATTATTCTGTGAAAAGAGTAATTTTATCATGGCCTTAAAAACATGTTACCCCTAGACTGAATATGTGTTTACGTGTGTAGTAAAATTTTACCAGGGTTAGGTCTATCTGCAAAAAAAAAGGGCGTTAGGCAAACACTGTGGTTGATGTTTATCTGTTGTGTCAAATCAGTTTGTACTAACCATAAATGTATGAAAGTTAGATACTCCAAAACATCTTTAGCTCGACACCAAAACTACAACCACACACACTGACTAGCTGCTTCAAATCCCTGCAGAGGGCCCTGGACATCTGACACCTCCGTTTGAAAAAGCTCTTACAACACTTACAAAAAGAAAGCTAGTGGTCATTTTGTGTACACCTCTTGTCATTTGCCACCGTTTCCTCCTGCTGGCTTGAGGGGCTGCTGTCTGCACCAGCATGTGGAATTGTGGAATTTCTGGTAGCAGGTCAATGCTGACCCACCACAAACTCCTCACTTCCTATCCCCAAAATACAGGTGAATGCCCATCATAGGTCTTTGTTAGTACCTTAAACTTTTCTCATTACAATATTTTAATAATTGTTCTGTTTACCATTTCCTTTTTAATCACCCAACCCCACGTGTTTATTTGGCCTATTTTCTTTAATCTTACGCCTTATGTAAGAATAACGCACTTAAATTTCAACAGTACTTACTACAGGATACTGCAGTAAGAAACCCTTATGATTTTAAATGATCCCATTATAAAAACGTGTGTTAACTAATATAACAGCAAATTGAATTGACTTATAGTCATGAAAGCTTTGAGCCACACATGCTTTAGGCTGTTATCTCAAGTCCAAAAAGTCTATAAAATGTCATCATACAGGGCCTATTTAAAATGATAACAGTTGTATTTGTGTGTGTGTGTGAGAGAGAGAGAGAGTGAGAGAGAGTGTGTGTGTATGAGTGAGAGAGAGAGCAAAGGGATAAAATAAATAGGTCTGTAGTTTCACCTACATGGTATCGCCAGTTTTGGCGATATGGCATAGAAACTGTTCCAGTAGAGGAGATGGCTCCTTCTTTCCTTTCTTGTCGAAATCTGTTAAGATGAAAAATAAAATTAAAAAAATCCTGAGTGGCTTAACATGACCATTTAACTAGTGGAGGTGCACAGGCTTTGATTTACCTCAGCTTTCCCAACAGTTTTGATAACTCTGCCAATAAACCTGGATATTTTGTTTACTTTCAGTTATAATCTACTCTAGCCGACACATAAAAAGCTGGCAGCAGATCCCTGAGGAATCACCCTGTCTCGTTAAAGTTATCTATTTACATAACCAGTGTTGCTAATTCGCTGGCTAGCCTAAGTTTAGCATGTTAAGTTAGCCAGAAGACCATAGCCGGCAAATAACTGTACAAAAAGCCGGTGACAGTAGTCATATACTTAATACATATCTGTGAAAATATTATCAGTTACTGAGGGCAAATACATAAGAACTTTTCAGTAAATCCGAAGGAATAAGTTGTATTTTCTCGTCGTTCTTTCATGACTAAACCATTTCCGTGAAACCGCTTATAATGCTAGCCTTAGCTAACGCTAGCCTCGAGTATCAGCTAGCTAGCGCCATTAGCGTGAGAGATACAATCCGATCATTTGTTACAAAAGAGTAATCTGGGGCGGACACAAATATCGTGTGGTCTCGGCCGATGAAAGAACAAGAGAAATAAACTGAGTATAACCTCTGAGAGCTTCTTGAAGCGAATCAATTTCCATCACGTCGTTGCCCTCTGTCAGTCTTGTAGATGTAAAAAAGCAGACTGGCGGCTAGCTGCGGCTGCTAAGCTACAACCTTACAGACAGGCAAAGAGGAGGAAGCATTTTAATATGGCGCCGTGAGGTCACTGCCTGTTCGCTGAAACACACGGGGGGAGTGAAGCACTCCACTTATGAATGAATGTGGATTTACACAAACAGACGGAGAAAACGAGACAGTGTTTTAAGGGGCGACATTCTTTTAACACAATATCGACTTAAAACAAAATTTATACCAAAACAAATTAATCTTAAACATAAAAAAATATATTAGAAAAATGTGAACCAAACTAGTAATTTAAATGTATTTATCAGCACAAGTTTTGGATTTATGCTATCCAATACAATGCATGTGCATTTCTTTTTAAACGTGAAAAAATGCATGATGGCTGAATGCCAATCTATTTGCGTTATGTAACATTATGATATACACATATAGATGTGGGAAATTCAAGCTCAGCTGTATAATTTTTTTTAATAACAAGTGAATCAGAATGATTTGTATAAAAGTACACTGAACATAAAAAGATGCTGCATGTGAAATATCGATACATTAAGATGCTATGCACAGATACAATCTGGGACTGAGAGGCACTCATCACCATTTGCAGACAGAGAATATTTACAAAGATATTTTTCTGAATCATTAGTTATGATACCTGACAATTTAAAATGTCTATTCTAGATATAGATTTTGTATCTTAAGTTACATTTAGACTAAATTTAGGAGGGGTGTCAAATTTAGGTTTACCCACTGGGAAGCTGTGAACACAGGAGTTTGACAGCTGACATTCTTTAATTAACACCATCCCTGCCAATGACAATATATTCCAGCAATATGTTTTGCATATTCTGGGAGGTCTTGGATGATTAGTGATTCATAAGTCACTGGAAGGTTTGAAACAATACTCTGGGAAAATGTCCATAATTTAAGAAATCCTTGATAATATTGTTTATTGTCTCATATATTCTTCCTACATCCAATTGGTCTGTGCACACAATGGCCTCTGTAAATAATTTCCAACATATTGCTTACCATTATATGATTTATTCAAGAATACCAGTTACCATTTACAAAGTATGGGAGGTAAAGAAATATATCCTCATGTAAAAACAAAATAATCAATCTTTATTTCTTTACATATTTGTTAAGGGCCCAGACATGGCATCTCAAATCTTAAGAGAAACTGCCATTTAAAAAGGAAAAGAAAAAAGATATTTCATCGTGTAGACGCTTGTTTACATATTCTATATAGCCTTCAAGTGTGAAAAAAGGCACATGATAAGCAACAAACCACAATCTACTTTTTCCAGGTTTCTGGAGCCCTGATAAGTGGGTCAAAAGGTCCCCGGGCCTTGAGTTTGACACACACGATAGAGAGTTAGGTGAGTGTTGGCTTCACTTTCAAATCGCTTTGGCTGTATTATCATATTTGGATCAAAATATACTGACATCAGATACTTACTGATCTTGTTGAAACAAATCTTCAGTAACCATTGTCTGTACTCTCTCTGTCACCATCTAAAGAATATAATTCATCCTCGTTTATTGTTTCAAACATATTAAAACACAATTGATTATTATGCAGTCATGGTGAAAACAAACAAACACACAAAAAAGCAACAACAAACATTTGTATTAGGACATAATTAAAACTACCTGGTCTTTAATAAGTCTTAAAATGAGATGAACAACAACACATGACGTATTATTATACCGTGTTATTAACAAAAATAAGGCCAACATGTAGAAGCACTGTATAAAAACTAAGGACACCCTTACTGCTTTCTAGTGGCCAGGTGCTGCTAATGAAATGCATTTGATCATTGATCATCAGCAACCTCTATAAAAGTTTTGGCAGTTTGCTGGTCTGAGATCAGCAATGTTCTTATAGTAGCAATTGGTGCTCTCCATCAGTCTTGGAAGGGGCCATTCACAAATAATTGTAAGAAAGATTATTTACCAGTGGAAAACATTCATTACAGCTAACAGTCTTCCACTAAGTGCACATCCCAAATTCACCCCAAAACTGAATGTGCAATACTTGGAGGAAGTTAAAAAAAAACCCAAGCTGTATCTCTACAGGCCTCAGTTAGCATGTTAAATACTAAAGCTCATTGCAGTACAATTAGAAAAAGACACTTGTTTTGTTTTTTTCTAATTGTTCTGCAATTAGTTTGTTTGGAATGATTGGCAGGAGAAAGTCTCCTCTCCATAAAAAAATCCCAAAGAAAAACAAGGCAGCACAGCTGATGTTTGGAAGATTGTATCTGAACAAACTATAAGACTTCTCGAACACTGTCTCTTAGACAGATGAGACCAAAGTGGAGATTTTTGACCACAAGGTACAGCAAACACCAAACAAAGCACCTAATACCAGCTCTCAAGCATGGTGGTGGAGGGGTGATGATTTGGGGTTGTTTTGAAGTCCCAGTCATTGAGCAGACTGTTAACTCCTCTGTAATGCATAAGTATTACAGAGTCAAGACCATCTCCAACAACTAAAGCTTAGCCCAAACTGGATCAGAGAATGGCTGAAAGAGAAAAGAATCAAGGTGTTTTAATGGCCAAGTCAAAGTTCAGACCTGAAACGTACTGAAATTAACAGAAGTGTGCAAACCTCAATGAACTGAAGCAACACTGTAATGAAAACTGGGCCATAAGTCCTCCACAACGATGTCTGAGTCGCACAGGAAGTTATTACTGCTACTCAATTTTTCACACACAGCTTCTGCCTTTTGGCTCCATTTTTGTTAAATAAACAACACAGTGATGTGTCACATGTTCCTGTCCTTACTTTAAGACCTGCTCAGAATTAGATACTTTTTTCTTTTATGATGTTGTGATGTGTAAAACCTCAGAGCTGACAGATGTGGTACGTTCTTTTCACCAAGACTATATGAGCATAAATGAGGCTACGGTAAACTCAGGACATTGCATTGTTTTATTAAGAAACACACGCTGAGTGTACAGCTATTTTCAGTTTCCAGGTTGAATGATTTGATACATTTGGCTCTTTATACCCCTTTAAAAGCAACTTTAAAACATACAGCCCATGCGTTCACCATTGATCACATGGTACGTACACCACACATCAGATTACAGGCTCGGAGACTCTCTCAAACACACAAATCTACAGCACTTATTTTCTTCTGCCAGGAAAAAAAAAAGTCAGACATGAATATTTATACGGTACATCATCTGCTGTGGTTTGACACCTTTTTTTTTTCTTCCTTTTTTTTCAAAATCTAGCACTTTTGGTTTTGATTTCAGTCGAGTCGTGTTGTATCTAATGGAGACATATGTGCAACAACAACAACCTTCCAGTCCTAATGTCAAAGTGCATTGTGACATTCAGTATTCAACACAAAAGTCTACATTTCTTCTGCTGTGCTGTGTGTAATACTGTCAGCGGCATTTGGCAACTGCAAAACAGACCACAAACTCAAATACACACATTCACACTTCAAGTTATTTGCTGATAAAACATTCACAATTTTAGAGGAGTGGTTTATAAATCTACTACTTCAAGGTAGTAAAGCTGTTCAACGTTGACTCTGTGTAGCACATACACATCTCCCTAATGGTTAGGAGGAGTACTTCAAATGCTTGTGAGGAGAAGTAAAAAAAGACAAGACACCTTTGTACAAGTCTTGAGAAAAACACGGCTTAAATTTTTCTTACACACTTGAGATGAGCTGATACTTTCTAGTTTTCCAACATTCTTATACGTTACATCACTTGTGATGTCAAAATAAAGACGGTTATAAGGCAAACCTATTCGGCGACGTCACTGACCAGCACTGTATGCATAGGGTGATTACTCATCACCAGAGGCTCATAATGTTCATGAGACCCTTATTCCAGAAAGTGTCATGCGCTGAACTCTGCAAATGCAGAGCCACCAGTTTGATCTGAGAATCCACAGGGACACCCACTTTCTCCATCAGTTATTTATGTGGCCTGACGTGGCGGACCACTTTGTCCTCAAACACCTTCCTCATTGTCTTTTCGATCTGCTTGAGGAAGACTTGGGGAATCCGACCACAGAGCGTGTTGACCGTGTCCAGGAACTTGGTCTGGATGGGGTAGAAGAGCGACTGGAACATGTTGTCCTCAAAGGGAAACTGCAGAGACGGAGACATCGGCCCATGTCAGTTCCAAACCCAAAGTTTTGTGCGTTTGTGCGTTTTTTTTCTTGTTTGATCTAGAACATATCACAGGCTAAATGATATTTACAAATTCGGTTGGCAGGGGTGGGGCGGGCCTCAGTATTAATCATAAATTACGACCCTGCTCGTCTTTAAGAGGCTTATCTCAGCAGAGCAGGGGGGAACCGACTCTGCTGCCGGAGAAAACAAATTCTAATTTTAAACTGACCCAGATTGTTTCATGAGTGCAAGGGGAGAGAATTTGAAATCACAAAATAAATAGTCATAGCTGTTCTTTTTTTCTGAGCTAAACAATGCTGCTACAGAAACAGGTCTACGTACACTTATATGTAGAATTGCTCCTTTAGTAGCTTGTTGGGACACATTTTCATTTGCATGACTTCCACTCTGTATTTTAGCAGCTTTATCAGAGCTAAGCAAGTATTCCTCCAATCGTGACGCCAAGCTATGCTACAGCTTTCAGGCCTTATTGTAGCACAGTGGAAATTTGTACTGAGCAAGTGCATCTACCTGAATGTGTGTTTTGCTCCACTGAATTTGAGGTATTTTCCAACAACTACCACATGAGCCTGTGGTGGAAGTGCTATGACCTGTCATTGCTTCAGTTGATCAGATTCAGCAACATTATTTGCCCCAAAAATGAGGTCAGCTGATTGCCTGCACTGTTGCCTCACAGCAAGAAGGTCCTGAGTTCAATTCCACCATCAGGCCGGGGTGGAGTTTGCATGGGTTCTTTCCTGGTACTCTGGCTTCCTCCCACAGTCCAAAGAAATGTAGTTAGTGGGGATAGGTTAATTGGAAAGTGTAAATTGCCCAAAGGTGTAAATGTGAGTGCGAATGGTTGTCTGTGTCTATGTGTTAGCCCTGCGATTCACTATGTGTAGTAGTAGTGTTCCAACAGACGGCACTGTGCATCACTGCCATACTGAGTCAGTAAAGCTTGATTTTATATGTGTGAAATCAACATCCTAACTAACGTAGTAACTGCAAACTCCTTTTAATCCCCACACCGCAACCTTCCATAATATTCAAACCATTGTGGTATGCTACAACCTGATGTGTAGCTGCATTTCTCAGGAGGTGCACGTCAGGTTCCTTCAAAACATCAACATGTCCCAGTCCTACAAGACTGCTAAAAAAGACCTACCATTAATTATTTTATTAGTTATCAGTTATTTATTAGTTATTAATCATCTCTGGCTCTCTTCCACGGTGTGTCTTTATTCCATCTTCCTCCCCTCACCCCAACCGGGCGCGGCAGATTGCTGCTCCTCCCTTAGCCAAATTCTGCTGGAAGGGTCTTCCTGTTAAAAGGGAGTTTTTTCTTCCCACTGTTGCTAAAGCTGTTGCTCACAGGGGGTCATTGTTGTTGTTGTTGATTGTTGTTTTTTTATTTTTCTGGTTTTCTTTGTATTATTGTAGGGTGTTTACTGTACAATATAAAGCACCTTGAGGCAACTGCTGTTGCGATTTGGCACAAAACTGAACTGATTATAAACGTTACGTAAGAGGTTGTGGCGTAGGGATAAATGTAAGAAGCATAATTCACACATAACTTTCAGATCCTCCTGGGATACTCACATTATGGATTGCATCATAGACTACTTTAAACGCTGGCTGCTTGTCATCATGATATACGCCACGGTTGCCATGGAGGATGGACACGCCTTCCTCTTCAGCCCCTTTGCAGTTACTACCGTACATACAGTGGTCAGGTCTGTAGTTCCACTGGCATGGAAAGATGAAGAGACGCTCTGGGGGGGGGGACGACGACGATGAAATGGTTTATTTCTTTATCAGGTAATTGCATCAATGTGTTTCTTGAAGGGGAAACTAAATATGCATCCAGACATACCAGAAGATTATCGAATAAACAGAGTTGGGAAAATAGATCGTTTTAATGTCAGCACAAAGAGCAAGAAACCTGCTTCTGCTGTAATAGAGGAGCTGATCATTGAATTGCATGATAAAAATCAATAGAAAAAGAAACACAAATATTGATTAACTTATTTGTTCTGAATCCTCAATAGTAGTGCATTAGCTTAGGGAACATGAGGTCCTTGATTGATATGTACGCTACTACCAGGAGAAAAAGTTTCCTCACCAAGAAAAACACAGATCAGAAAAACGCTGATGGACCAACATGAATATATGAATATACTCAGACAGCAGAGAACACAAAGCGCTTTATATACAAAAACAAAACACTCCATTTGGCTCTGAGCAAATGCGAATGATGCCAACTCTGTTGACGGCTCTGAGCATTTGATGCCTACATCTGGCGACTGCAGCTGGATCTCAGTTTGCTTTCACCTGCAGCCACAGCCTTGGTGTTTACACAGCCAGATTCATGAAGCAGACTTTAGCAAAAGTGAAAATAAGATGCAATTTTTGGAAACATGTTGATGGTGAGAAGCTGTGGTTTGGGCTGTCTGCAGACTGGTATTTCAAAGTGCACTCATATGCATGGATAAGCAGTTTGGATTAGGCCTTAAACATAAC